ACATGGCCTCACAGGTCAGCACGTTAATGTTCTGCAGCATGACCTAAATCACTTCAAAAATTGTAATGCTGGTGTTTTCCTTCAGTTTAGACAATCACAAAGCTTTGTCTGTTTCTCAGATTGCTTCGGGGATGGCGTATGTGGAGCGGATGAACTATGTGCACAGAGACCTGAGAGCTGCTAACATCCTGGTGGGAGATAACCTGGTTTGCAAAGTGGCTGATTTTGGTCTGGCTCGCCTCATTGAGGATAATGAATATACTGCTAGGCAAGGTAAGACCAATGTACAATGGAGTAGGCCAGGGGGGTCAAACTCAAATACACAGTGGGCCAAAATAAAAAAAATGGGTACTAGTCGAGGGCCGGACTGGTTCAATGTTTATTGCAAAACTTATTGAAATGAACTTATTGCACATATTAAACCTGGAACTAACAAAGCTTAAATTGTTGCCTATAAAAACAACATTAAACAATCAGTTGCATTAATTTCTTATCTGCAGCTTTTCCGGAGTCATTTCTTATGATTACATTTTTCCACAGGCCAACAACAGCTTCAAAAAAATAATTTCCCTCAAAGAAAAACCAAACATGCCCTGTTGTCTCAAGAAAGAAAGTGCAGAAGGAAACATCCATTAAACTCAGTGTGCTGCTCTGTGATGCTAGTTCAGATACTTGGCATCTCATCTTGGGTGCAAGCTCATCAATGTTTGGGGTCAGACTCTGAGCTGAGGAGACCCTCAGGATGGAGTGAAGGTGTGCGTGCAATATACCGGCGGGCCAGATCTAATAGTATTTAAAAATTATCCTGCGGGCCGAAATTAAATCCACCACGGGCCTGATTTGGGCCCCGGGCCTTGAGTTTGACACATGTGGTGTAGGTTTTAAGCATTTGTTTTTCTGTACACTATTTCTCAATGCAGCACACTGGTTTCCAATCTTGTATACAGCTTCTGACCTCTTAAAGTGAAGTAGTATGTATTTGGTACCACACGTGTTAGGTAGTATGTATTGAGTTATAAGCAATTCAACCAAAAAGCGATTTTCTTTTCCCTATGTTTGTGTTTTTATGGATTTCAAGAGGTGAAAGTATACATTTAAAGACAAGTAGGTTTTCTCTTGCTTTTAAATCATTTCATGACTGATTTCCTGGGGTTAGGAACTGGTGATGTACAGCCTGTGGTTATAAGGTGTTACATTCCAAGAAACCTTTTTTGATTTATGCAGCATGCATGATGTGCCTTTGTTTTGGTCTGTGCTGCAATGATCTACTTTTAACTTTCTTATAAATCTGTCATCCTGCAGGAGCCAAGTTTCCCATCAAGTGGACGGCTCCTGAGGCGGCTCTGTACGGCCGCTTCACCATTAAATCTGACGTCTGGTCCTTCGGGGTCCTGCTGACTGAACTGGCCACCAAAGGCCGAGTGCCCTATCCAGGCAAGAACCATTTTCATTTTGACAATTCTGTTCAGTCGATGAAACAACTAAATAACACACTTTTTGACTCCATTGTATTAGTCCACCTTACAGGTTTCTACCAAGTACAAAAGTGTGTTGATGTTCTAATGCATCGCGCCACAGGCTATCTGAGTCAGAAGTACATTAGTCGCTTATAAAGAAGCTTTATGCAACAGGTAAATGTGAGTTATGGCAGGCTATATTTTAGACAAATTAGACTTTTCTTATGCAACTGGCCCTTGAAGTGAGTTGCTAACGTCATGCTCCACTAATCCAACAGCCACATGATTTATGACTGGCAGTCTGTTAGTCATAAGGCATTAAATAATTCAAATTGCTATTATCATGCCTTTGCTCTGCCAGGTATGGTGAACCGGGAAGTGTTGGACCAGGTGGAGCGCGGATACAGGATGCCGTGCCCAGCAGAGTGCCCTGAATCCATGCATGATCTGATGCTGACCTGCTGGAGGAAAGAGCCCGAGGAGAGGCCCACCTTTGAGTACCTGCAGGGCTTCCTGGAGGATTACTTCACCTCCACAGAGCCTCAGTACCAGCCAGGAGAGAACCTGTAACTGGGCTGAACGTGGAAATGTGCATGTGTCACGCATGTGCAAACTGAGCATGTGCATCTATCTACTTCAGAGTGCATGGACAAGTATGTGTGAGGGGATGTATGTACAGAAGAACGGGGCAGAAAGCCGGCTGCAATCTGGGTCCAAAGGGTAAACATCAAGGAGTATCAGTGGGGCAACAAACTCATCAGCAACATTTAGTTCCTGCCTCTTTTCCAAAGTCAGCTCCAACATGCCAGCTGTCAAAAGACTCACCTGTGGTATTATTTGTGCATTTTTCATACAGTACTGTGTAATTGTGTCCGTCATTCAAATCACCAACATACTATACACGCCAAGCAGGTTCTTCTACCTTCCTTGTGTTTCTAAGGAGCCATGGAGATGTACATTCCCTATGCGCTCTCCCTGCGTTTAAACACCTGACTATTCCTGTCGTGTGTCACCTTCAACACTGCAGGTGGCACCAGACAATGACACAAAAGACTGCATAGGGGTTAACCATGGGGGGTCCAGAGAATGAATGTTGGATACAAGTGTTGCCCCGCTAAAAGCACCACTTCAGGATGTCTATATTTACCCCATTTTCTTTGGGACACTATTAAAAATGTGTATGGTCAGTCTGTCTTCCATTTTGCCACTTAAGAAGCAACTATTTTGGTATGTACAATAATTTCCCAGGATATTGTGGGTTTCATTTCCTTATTAGACCTGGATCGACTGGAATATATTCAGGTGAACATTGTTATTTTGTAATCATGCTTCCCCTGTGCTTCATTTCGGCTGGTTTCCAAACTGCTGTGAGATGTAATAAGAGACTAACACCCTTGATTCTCATAAGAGTGTGTAGTCTCACTCGCCAATTGGACGATTTGGTTTATCGCTGTGACCAATATACAGCTCAACTCAAAGAAGAGACGAGGCAGGAGTCTGTCCCTCTATTTTCTAATTGTGATTTTTCTTACAAACAAATGGCTACTGATCACTATTGGTCATCTCAGGATGGAGAAGACTACAATTCTGCTGCAAGGATTTTTGTGCCAACGAAAATCTCTTTTGTACTCTCTTATACTGTGTAAAAGTGTATTTTACTACTCTGCTTTTCTTACTATGAAGTTTGACTTGTAAGCATTTCCTAAAGGATAATCCACTGTTTTGAGATTCTACACCTGTGTACAGCACCGACCGGCTCACCAGCATGGTTTCAAGGCGCTGATTTGTTTTCAAGCATTCAAATTAAAAATCAGGTGAATCCTACTGTCTCCTTTCAGGTTTGACCTTCATTTATATGAAGAGTTCTATTTTCAATCAGCCTCAGTATTTCCCTAACTAGTGCATCTTTGTGCGCCATCGTACACTGGAGATTTTATTTATTTTCTTTAATACATGAGACAAAGGGTGATATTACTCTGAGTATTGGTATGCCTTCTTCCAGCCTGTAGGAGGCAGACCAGGAAGCCCTAGCATGTATAGCAAATCAATTGGCATCGTGAAACTAAATTGTAAATATCCTCAATGCTAATATTTTTGTACATATATATCATCTTTATAATTTATTCCTTTTAAAATAACCCATTGGATTTTGGCATCATTCTTTGAAACGTTAATGTGTATGGTACTTTTATGGGTTAAATAACACCTGACAATAACAATATAAATATATATTATACAAACACTTTTTGTGCACGTATTTCTGTGAAACTTATCTTGGTTGAACATTTTCAATATGACTTGAATTGGTGAGGAGAACTGCTCTGTATCCCCTGACTCACAGCATTGATTACTTGCCAGAAACGGATCACCCACCCGCATGATTCCCATAAAACAATCACAACCACAAATGATTACATCTTGATAATCTCTGAATCACCATGGTGACTGGTAAATGAGCAGGTTTCATTATGGTTTAACATTCTCTGTTTCTCTGGGTACATCTGATGACTAGTTTGTGTTTGTGTTGCAATCTTTGACACCTCCACACTTGTTTTAATGGACATGTAAAGCTTGTTGTTCATAAAGCACTACACTCTGCGATTAATGACTCCATACAGAAGATGATGTGACTGCCACGGATGAAGGGAGTTTGATTTCTGTGGAGCGTTTACTGTGTCCTGTGGACATGGGGTTATGCCACAATGAATGCATTGACCTGCATGGGCGTAGTCAGGTTGGCATCGTGCCCTTCTTTTCCTGACCTGCCCCTCTCACTGAATTCTTATATGAGCAAAGTGCACGAAAAAAAAGATCATATTGTATGTATGTTGCAGCCTTGCTTAAAGTTAAGGGCATTTCCTGTTAGGTATACTGTGGGTCTTCTTTCTGGCTATGCAGATATTTTTTTTAAATCTCTGGTATTCCTACATTTACTCTTTTCTATTGTATCTAATGGGAATGTTCAGATAAATAGCTCTTTGTTAAATCCTACTGATTATTGTTCAAATTTGAAATTACATTTGAATAAAATTTGTATATTGCCAACTGTATCCTTCGTGTTTATCAACTGAATGAATGTGGTTCCTAAAATCAGGACGACATCGCTGAGATTATGTTTGAAATGAGTCAAGTCGATGATCAAAGGTTCATACAGCTGCAGAATAATGCATATTGTAAACTATCTAATCCACAATTATCATTAGTAATGATCATTTGTGGAAAGTGAGCTTGCTATTATCAAAGCATGATTAGACCCAAGTATACGTTAATGTTATTAATACTGATTTGAAAAAGAAATACATATTTATTTTATTATGTTTTTGTATATCAATGTGGTAGTTTTTCTTGATTTCTGATTCTGAAAATACATTAAACAGGGAATAAAGAAAGGAACATCAGTATTGTTGTTATAATTTTAGATTTGAAGATACCAAAGCCCTCATGTATCAGTGATTCCTACATATCCTCAGGCTAATCATATCAGCTAACCTCACCCGGTGGTCACGTGCCGCCGGTGCTCGCGCGCTGTGTGTAGAATTACCAGAAAGTCCCGGAAGAGGCTCCTCGTGCAGAACAGAGCGAGGTGCAGGTGAGCGCTCACGCACCATGTACCTGTAAACAAAGAGAAACAACATGGAAACAACATCCAGGATACAGTTTAATAGAAACCGGGATCAAACACGACTTCGTAGCAGGTAAAGGACGCATTTTACTCCTCGAAACGGTCCATGTTTAACTATTAAGGAGTACATATTGTGTTGCTTGTTTTTCCATTGTAAGGAAGGCGGTTTTTTTGTTTTTTTCGTGAGTTGTCTTAAAAGTTGTGTAGCATAACACAAGGCTGGGGCTTTCTCTTTAGCCAAGATGAATGATTTAACAATGATAATTCTCGTTTTATAATTGCCCTGTTTTCACTGATTCTTTAACTTCAATCAGTTTATTCTCCCAATTTAGGTCAGTACAGGAAATTCTTTGCTTCTTCCTAGTAAACTCCCACTGTAAAATATGTCTTCATGTATGAATAAATGTGTTGGTATTACAGCTCTATGTAAGCCATATGTTCTGTCCACATATGTCAGCTCTGTTGGCTTTCTGCTGTATCTGGCTGCTAGCTCTCGGTAACATGTTGCGACTGCAACCTGCTTCAGTACCACGCCTTCCTGTTCATTTGCCAGCTTCCTATCATTGTGTGGTCTTATATCATTGCAAAGGGTAGGTTTTAATGTCTCACTGCAACCCTGTTGAAGCCAGATTAAAAGCAGGAAATCCTAATTGTATTTCTTCCCCTGCTCCTTTATGCCCCTCTCAATCTGTTTGTTCTCTTTCTGTCTTTCTATGTCTGTCTCCAAAACCTGCCAGGCTGCAGATCGGTGTGTGATCCAACATCCTGATACACGCAGTAACCAAACACACGGCACAGAGCTTACCCATGAGATAAGGTGAGTCAATCCATCCAATCAACTGGCACTGGGCAAAATTAGGTCAATTCTCTGTGTGTGTGTGTGTGTGTGTGTGTGTGTGTGTGTGTGTGTGTGTGTGTGTGTGTGTGTGTGTGTGTGTGTGTGTGTGTGTGTGTGTGTGGTGTGTGTGTGTGTGTGTGTGTGTGTGTGTGGTGTGTGTGTGTGTGTGTGTGTGTGTGTGTGTGTGTGTGTGTGTGTGTGTGTGTTGTGTGTGTGTGTGTGTGTGTGTGTGTGTGTGTGTGTGTGTGTGTGTGTGTGTGTGTGTGTGTGTGTGTGGTGGTGTGGTGTGTGTGTGTGTGTGCTGTGTGGTGTGTGTGTGTGTGTGTGTGTGTGTGTGTGTGATGTGTGTGTGTGTGTGTGTGTGTGTGTGTGTGTGTGTGTGTGTGTGTGTGTGTGTGTGTGTGTGTGTGTGTGTGTGTGTGTGTGTGTGTGTGTGTGTAGATTGCACCTTGATTAATCATTTCTGATAGCTCAACTCTGTAAATGCCAGGAAGCTTATTTGCTTTCTCTTTTAGGTTAAACGTTTCTATTCATCAGAACTAAAATATCCTTCAAAAGTCTAACATCAAAACACCTCTGGATGCTCATGAAACAATTTTAATGATGTTCACCTAAACTGTACTTTCGTGTTCCAGCCTCTGTGTCGGGACACTATCAAGTGTGCCCTTAAGGACTCTCAAGCATTTGTCTCTGCGTGTATTGCAGGTAGTAACTTTTGTTTGAGTAATTGGAGCCATGTGCAATACAGGCAGTAATGCAATACATTTTAAGACCGAGAAGAGCTTTAGTAATCTTTGTTTGCGTTAGTCATCACTATGCTCTTTCTCAATATCTTCACAAAACAATGGTTAAGGGAGGATGTTGTTCTTAATAGAAGCTGAAATGCATTTTTCTTCAGGTCCACAAGCACACACACGCAGCAGCTGTAATTATAGAGTGTGTCTCAGGTGGAGGCCAGAGGCTGCAGATTCAGCAGCAGAGGGGGAGTTGTTGTGAGAGAAATGTTACCATCAGGAAACGATGCATGACAGTTGGTTACCGCAATTGTCAGCCACAACTTATATACACTGTTTGCATGCAATTCATTTCAATACATTGCTGCAAGAAAAGTGTTAAAATGGTGCTTCATGCAGTGCTCCTATTATTTCAGGGTGATATTTACGTAAAAGATTAAGTGAAAATAACCCACCTTAGGTCAATGTTAACATAGATTGTGTGTAAGAGCTCACATTGTTTCCTAAAGGTTTCCTATCAATAGAAAGGTGATTGTTGGAAAACATTCACGGTATATTTGTTTTGTCTTTTTAATTGTGTAGACATTGTCTTTAAAGCTACTTTACTTACTAAGTGTGTTGTTCCAACTTAAGTAAGGATGAAGTACATTTCTATTCATTCTACATTTCAGTGTAGAGCCACGTCAGTTAGTCAATAGACGGGAAACTTATCTGCATCTGACTGATTTTAAATGCCATTTTCTTAATGTCTTTCATTTTTGGTAAAGCACTTTGAATTACCTTGTGTTGAAAAGTGCTATATAAATAAACTTGCCTTGCAACTATTAATACACGAATGGTTGTTTCCTGGCTCTCAAGTGGAATACTTTACTGCCTGTCCTTTTCTTACATTGAACTGGCTTTGGACTTTAGGTTGTGTAAAGCAAGATATCTGAACGTCATGTTGGCTGTTATTCATTCTGATAACTGTTTTTCTTAGTTTTGATCGAACAAACCATTAATCAAATAAGGGAGAACATAATCTGCAGATGAATCTATGAAAGATATCCTCAGTTGCAGCTCTACTTCTTGTTTTAGTTTTCAGTCCAATAATAATTCATGGTGCTTAATTACTCTGAACTGCATGCATTTTTCAGCGGTGTGATGCATACCAATGAGTCATTAAATCCAACTTGTATTTATATAGCACTTAAGCATAATGAAAGGTGCTTCACAAACTCAAAACAAAACAATATATAAAGACTAACCCATTAGTTCATAAAAGAGCAACACTTTTCAGTCATACAAAGCACTTAATAACCACTTAACTTAATATAAACAGACGTAAATACAATTTAAAATAAAAAGCTTAAGGCTCTGACTGGTCTCTTAAAGCTATTCTGCCAATGCAAGACATTCTCATTAATAGTAGCTTTTATTTTAAATCATAATCACATATAGTTGTTCTTGTTTGGTTGAGTAGTTACATCCCCAATTTGTTTTAGCCGTATTTTTCCATTGAACTGTGTGTTTGTGGGTACTGGCTGACTAACTAAGTAATGACAGGCGCCCCTGCTGAGGCTGTGTGAGGATGACACACCAGCTGTTCAGTTAAGAGCTGTAAAAAAAAAATATACCACAGAAGCCACATTGAGGAAGTTAGTAATGACTCATCTGTCCGTGTCTAACACATTTAGACATCTGGACTATAATTAGAGGGACAGGAGCTTTACCAAAGAAGGTAGAAGCACCAATGTTAACAACAAGGACTTTGTAACCCTTTGATCATTAACACTAATCTGATCACAATTATTTCCAGGTAGGAAGTTCTTAAAAACCTGATTGAACCTCCTCTTTTACAGTTAACCATCAGAGGGAGCACCCGGAAGGACTGAACAGTCGTCGTCCTCCACGATGGCGAACCAGGACGCCGACAACCCTTCACACACCTCGTTTGAGAACTTCGTCCTAGCCCAGACTTGTAAGGATGTGAAGCATCACTTCGCTGTGCTCTGCAAGCAGCTGAATCTCAACCCTAAGGAGTTCGGGAGTTTCTACATCAGGTTAAAAGAAAAGCTAAACTACTGGAAGGCCAAAGCCCTGTGGAAGAGGCTGGACCAAAGAGCCGCTCACACGGATTACCAGCAAGGACAAGTCTGCACCAAAAACAAGGTAGGGGGAACCAGTGAATAATCTTTCTCTTTAGATTTTATATATATATATATATATATATATATTCATTTTTCTCTCCCATGATGACTATAAATAAAGAAATGTTCCTTCCTATTTTCTTCTATTTTCATTTTGTGGTTTTCTTCGTTCCGTTTTGAAAATAGTTTCATTTGTTCATGATGAAAATGTACTACATCATTTGACCCATACTGAACAGTGTCAGCGGGACCTTTTGGCCTCCCATGATCCGGGCTGTCCACATTTCAAAAAGTATAATGGAATATGGCCCGAAAATGAAACTTGTGCTTTTCTAATATTGTATATCTTAAATATATATGATATTACACAGTAGTATTCACGTGTTAATAAGCCACATTAATTCAGTCAATTTAAGTTTAAAACATTTTCAAATATATCTTTGTTGATTTAAAAAAAAAAAGAAGACCAATGACAAGCTAGAAATACACCCTTCATATTTCTCCTTATTATAATCAATCTGAGGCTTCTGTTTTAAGGAATGAGCTGCCAACAATATAAATGAAACCCTATGGAAACCTGTATCCATATGTATTAGTATCATCAAGCACAATTGACTTGCATTTGATTGATTTTGATCATTGAAAACTTAACTCTTGAGGCAATATGCCATGTACCTTTGTATATTCTTCTGTATGTGGCGCTCAGTGAAAAGAGTTTGGACACCCCTGATGTACAAGCTGATTCTGGAGAGGGGGAAAAGGAACAATACAAATATATAACTGAAAACCGTTTTTTCCTTTTGTAATACTTGGTTGGGATTGGATCATGTATGAGTTATTGTCCATTCCTCCTTATCACGCTAAACCTTTGACCCTTACTGATGATTAGATTAAGACCGACCTTGTTCTTTCCTGTTGGATTAATATAATGACACACTTTTAAGAAACTCTGAAAAACAAGGCTGCAAATGAAAAAAAAGAACTTGAGTATAAAATAAAATAGATATAGCCTATTAAAACATTGTGCAAGCCTTCAAACCTTAGTCTCAAACCTTGTTATTAGATGTCATGCTTTGAAACACTATTCTATATTCATGCCATCATTTCAAGGTTGTACTGATCGGCTCATTTAATAATAATAATAATACATTTCATTTATATAGCACACTTGAAAAACAACGTCATCTCAAGGTGCTTCACAATGCTATAAGGAGAAAATAATAAAACAAAACAAATAAAAAGTTATCTAAGGAGCATATAGAATCAAATATGGTCATTTAAAGAAATGATAAAGGTTAGAATAAAAAATAAAGTAAAGGACAGTCAGTAAAATGCGGTGCGGAACAGGTGGGTCTTTACATTTAGGGTAATGCATGCTTTGTTTTGTCGTGACGCCAACCCAAACAACGTTTCCTCATTTTCTGATTGCTATCATCTGTCCTGTCTGTTTGTCTCTCTCAGTGTCTGGTGCTGGGGGCGGGGCCATGTGGGCTGCGGACGGCCATCGAGCTGGCGCTGCTGGGGGCTCAGGTGCTGGTGCTGGAGAAGAGAGAGTCTTTCTCCAGGAACAATGTCCTCCACCTGTGGCCCTACACCATCTGCGACCTGCGCAGTCTCGGAGCCAAGAAGTTCTACGGGAGATTCTGCACGGGGTCTCTGGATCACATCAGTGAGTGACTAATGGTGGTCCTGTAGAACCAGGTTTTGTTTTTTTATAAGGGCCAAATTCATCGTTCAGTGATCAACAGAAAAATAATAATTGTTTGAGATAATGTATGGCATGTAAATAGTTCGGGAGTTTGAAATGGATTGAATTGCCTTATTGCATCAACAGGGCAATAACAAGGCCATACTTTACTACTATGCTTTTGAAAATGTTGGAATAGGTTTCCTAAAATGTGATCATCAAAGTCTGTTCAGAGATCTGTATTATGCTGGATATATGTAAAAAAAAGTTGTAGGATTGTCAAACAATGTCAATTCCTGAAAAGGCCAGAATGAACACTTAATTGATGCATTAATAATATGATAATTGATCAGCTACAGTATAGTTTTGACAATGAAAATCTTAAGTCCCAAGCTCCTCCAACAATGCAACATGAACATACATAAGACATAAACAATCAAAAAAAGAACATAACAACAAAACACCAACATAAAACAATGCAGTGTTGGAGAGGAGCTCGAGACACGGCAGCCATCTGAAACATCCATGAACTTCCTGTTTGCATCACTGACTGTATTTGGTACCTTGAATACCTCCCACATGAATAATATTGTGTGTTTTCAGGCATCCGTCAGCTGCAGTTGATCCTGCTGAAGGTGTCCCTTCTCCTCGGGGTGGAGGTGCACACAGGAGTGGAGTTTCAGGGCTTGATTGAGCCCTCAGGAGAAAACGGTACTAACATCTATCAAACCAGCAATCTCTTTCCTTGCCCTCTTTCATCAGTTGTTATAATGAACCAGCAGTATGTAAAGCAGTAGTTATTAACAAAGTGTCATGTGTTTCTGCAGGTTGGATGGCCAAGCTGCAGCCTGCTTCTCACCCGGCTTCTACTTTCGAGTTTGACGTCTTTATCTCGGCTGGAGGAGGCAGGTTCGTCCCTGATGGTGAGACAACACTGTGAACCACTTCTGTTCTTACCATTGCACTTGAAGACACAAAGATCTGCATTTAGATATTGTGCAAGAACTGGTTAAACACAGTCACCAACTTCCTCAAGTAGTGATATACAGATAACAAGATGTATCAGCCCCTATTGTTTTCTTTCCCACTCCATCAGGTTTCAGGCATAAGGAGCTGAGAGGCAAGCTGGCTATCGGCATCACAACCAACTTCATCAACAGACACACGGCTGAGGAGGCTCAAGTAGCAGAGATCAGCGGTGTGGCTCGCATTTACAACCAGAAGTTCTTCCAGGAGCTGCACACTGAGATGGGTAGGCATCCAAACAGCAGTGTCACGTACAGCAGGTCGGAAGAGGACGTCTTGATATGCAGTGAAGCAACCCTGTGCTCTTTTTCAGTGAAAAGGGAAGAAACCTCAAACCAACACATTTGATACCAAAGCTTGCACTCAGAGAGCACATGAACTACGAAGTAGAGTCGCTGAACCGTAACATTTCTAATAAGAATACCAGCGCTTCTATTTTCCTTGTATTGTTCTCCTGTTGTGGCTCGAAGCCTCAAGGCATGAAATGAATGTTCGCACTGTCAGGTCGGGTTCAATGTGAAGTGTGAAAAGGGTAGTGAGGCTGTTAATCTGGTTTGCAATCTTCAGTTCATTTCCTGTGACATGCAGCATTAACCCTTATGAAAGACATTCTTCCTCCCTAACCTTCTCTGTACCTTTTCTAATCTGAACACAGAAATTGTGTGTCACCTTTATCACCCTGTAGCACTATTTGAATGGCTTTTTAATTCACTACGACCTCCCTGTATCTCTGCCCGCTCCAGTAAATCATAAGCTAGCTAATGAGGCAGAAAATGATCACTCTCAAGCAAAAAATGCTTTTAATGTCAGCTTTCCTGATTCTCTTACATTATCTCTCTCTAAGCCCAGCATGCTTTCTCTCCATTTCACACTCCAGGTATTGATCTGGAGAATATTGTCTACTACAAAGACGCCACCCACTACTTCGTCATGACTGCCAAGAAGCAAAGCTTGCTGAAGAAGGGAGTCATTAAACAGGTGAGAACAACACATCCATTACCAAGAGAAAGTGTGATTCCTATTGGCAGCGGCTGCATCTCTGGACAGGAAAAAGAGAAACAAGCCAGATGGATGAAGCAGCCATCAGGTGCTCCAGTGTGAAGAGATAGACTGTCAATCATCTCCTCTTTCTCTGCAGCCTGGCCCATTAGCAGCAGCAGTAAACCCAATGTAGTACATGTCACTCAGGATCAGAAAAAGGTCTCCATCAGATTACACCTCTTGCTCCGTCTCTGCAGGACTTCAGCGACGCAGAGGAGCTGCTGGCTCCTGCAAACGTGGATGAAGAGGCTTTGCGCTGCTATGCATATGATGCCGCCTCGTTCTCCACAGGGGGTAAACTGCCTGACCTCCAGTTTGCTCCAAACCATGCGGGAAAGCCAGACGTGGCCATGTTCGACTTCACCTGCATGCAGCGTGCTGAGAATGCCTCTCAGGTCAGAGAGAAGAGGGGGAAGAAGCTGCTGATGGCTCTTGTTGGAGATTGCCTGGTGGAGGTAAACATTTAATGTGATGTGGTGCAAACTTCCCCTAGTTCACTCTTTGAGCCACACATAGCTCTAAAGATGGTGGTTGATATGTCCACCTCTTTGATCTACAGCAGTGTTTCTCAAACTTTTTCATACCAAGGACCACTTAACCAATAAAAAAACACTCGCGGACCACCTAACTCCACAAATATCCAAAAACACATCGTTTTTTACAAATCGCCTGAATATGGTACAAACAAGTGGCCACATGTGTGATGAAGGTGTTTATCTGGGCTATATCATGCAATCGAAAGTGAAACTTAAGCTCGCTCCATTGCGGAGATATTCCCGCGAGAGTGCGGAAAACTTATTTATTTCAAATGTGAAATTTTACCAATATACTCACGGACCACTAGGGGGCGCTCACGGACCACCAGTGGTCCGCGGACCACACTTTGAGAAGCACTGAGATTCTACAGTGAAATATTTCAAAACTACAGATGAACATTCATGGTCCCCAGAGGACGAATCCCTACATGCTGTTTTATGTAGCCAACAGATCAAGTATTTTTCTTATCCTGTGATATCCCACACAATTTGTAACACAAACATTCACGGTTGTAACAAATGTAGTTATATCAGTTATATATTTTGGTTTTAAGTGAAATCGCTACCACATTGTAATAGATTTCCATGAAGTTAAGATATTCATGAACCCCTCAGGATATATTTCAATAACTTTGAGGACTCGTGTTTTTTGACAAACACTCTGTTCATCGGGTCAATATTTGGATTTCCGTAAAATAATTGTTAAGCTTTGGCCATTCAAACTAATTACATTCCTCAGATGTTCTGTTTGAATTGCTATTCAACACATGTTAGCATGCTAATCATAGACTGTATATATTTCGAGGGACTGCGGATGGAAATTAGCTTAAAGCTAAATCTGGCACTGTTAGGCTTGACACATCTGAATGTTTTAAGTGTTCATACTGTGCATTATCTACTGTGCATTGTCCCTGCCAAATAAACGATTAAATGAAAAATGAAATATAAATGCTAATATGCTAAACTAAAATGGTGAACATGACTTCATTCTGATGCTACCATTTAGCTTTAGCGGCCGTAACGCGACGCAGACGGACCCGGTGGAATCGAGGCAGCCTCATAAAAACCGCTGCTTACTTAGCCGTGAACTTTCTTACATAAAGCTTATGACTGTTTGAGCAGCTGTTTTATTTTCTGTAGCATGAGCTTTTAATGAGTTAAATGCTTATCATTGTAAGATTCACTGTGTGCTACAAGGAGTTCTTATTCTCTGTTCTCTGCAGCCTTTCTGGCCTCTGGGCACAGGCATCGCTCGGGGGTTTCTAGCTTCCTTTGACACAGCGTGGATGGTGAGGAGCTGGGGCCTCGGGACCCCCCATCTCAAGGTCCTGGCTGAGCGGTGGGTCTGCTTCACAAATCTACTGAGAAGCACACACTACAGAGATTTGCATATATTAGTAGTAGTATTTGCATATATTAGTAGTAGTATTTGCATATATTAGTAGTAGTATTTGCATATATTAGTAGTAGTATAGTTGGATCATATAGATGAGTAATATCATGCAAAACCCACTGAGGTTCTACTTATTTCTCTATTCCCTAATATAGAGCACTTTCAAAACCTGAAATTGTAGGGTCTACTATAAGTATGATATTTTGTTTCAAGGAAAACTAACATACGGTTTTAAATGTTTAGAAAGGGAATAGGTGGCCTTGAAAGTTTGGGAATATAAAGTATAAAAACCTAGCGGCCACATTGATTAGTATTCATGTGGGTCTCCTCATCAGCACGATTCCCATCTTGAAATAATTAGTGAGATGGGTAGTTGCATTGATTGCAAAGGGTGAAGAGAATATTTCAGCGTGATTACTTGATGTAGCAAGAATGAAACACTAAGGCTGGTCTGGACAAAAGTCATGTTGGCCAATTTGAACACGTAAAAGCTACCCGGTTAACCTGATGTTCGCACAGACGAAAACTGTCAAGATCCTCCCTGGTTCTTTGTATTTACATATACATGTGTCAAATAAAAGCATGTGCGTGTAGATGTATGTACTGTAATACCAACTAAATCCTTATATTCGTTATATGTTAAAGTTATTCTGAATAGTTTTGTTTCTGTTCATTTAGCCTGTATCATCTTACCTTCCTTTTTGAGTGTTAGTTTTTATATTACCGTTCTAATCAATGCATCTCTGTGTTCCCTTGGCTTTAAATGAATGTTTCCTCTTCTACAAACACACAGAGAAAGTATCTACCAGGTCCTGTCTCAAACCACCCCAGAAAACTGCAGGAAAAACTACGTCAGTTACAGCATCGACCCCAAAACTCGGTACTTGAGAGTCAACCTCTCCTCCATCCAGGCCCACCAGGTCAGCGCTGCTTTCCTCTATGTACTCAGATATCAGTCAGTTTCATCTTCATGAAGCTTAGGGAGGTCAAGGATGCAGATAAAAAAAACACATAATCTCATAAAAGTAAAGCAATGCGAAACTATACTTTACGTTCTGATAAAAGTACCTTGTCTATTTTATTCAGTATTATGTATTTGATATATATATATTATAGTAAAACTGCTGATACTTTGAATGGCATAAAGTAGAATAAAATGTATCTATTGCATTTTAAATATGTTTGTTTGCTTTACAAATTGTGCTGTGTAAACTAGTAAACTAGTGAAAATGTACTTTAATATGGATTTAGTCGACAAATCTAATGAGAAGAACAAAGTGTTTGTTTGTTTTGTAATGTCGAGTGGGGATTCAATAATTCAATATTATTCGATGACATCCGTTTTATTCTACAACAGCTTATTGTTCTATCTCTTTTCTTGACATATTCATTTTTTATATTATTTATATATTATTCTTTGTCTGTTCTTTGTATTTCTTTAGGAATAAATTCATTTGTGTAACATGTTGAAATGCTTGAACAGTACATTTTTAAATCCGCCACTCACGCAGTAGAAAACTATTATTATAATAATAATGTATCTACTTGTCTCTCTCTCTTCAGGTGCAGCACCTATATATCGTTGATAAATCCAATCCAGGGAGCAAGAAACCGAAGAATAGGTTTTCTTACCTGCGTCAAGGTCAGCTCCTCTTCACTGTGCAGCCTCTCAAGGCCTCGATGTAACGGTGGAATCACATTGTGATCAACATCATAACAATAAAACATTCTCTTACACAATATTTACACATCCCAGAAAGAGGTTTGTATGGCTGTGAAAGCCTCCCCACTGTGGTCGCAGAGCACGCTCTGATGAATTGCCTTTGTTTTCCCCACAGATTCTGCCAGTGGTTTTGAGGAGTTGTTGAAATGGTGCCAGAAAAACACAGCGGGTTATAAGAATGTGGCTGTAAAAGATTTCACACAATCCTGGAGGTCCGGGATGGCTCTGTGCGCTCTGATCCACCACTTCGGACCCCAGCTCATGTGACCAATTACTTTTTTTCATGTGATAGTTGGATTCTTTATATTAGTTCATTTGTTTAGTTGTGTAAACATGACACAGTCCTTTGAGACAAATCCACTCAGTCTCACTAAGCGGCTACTCTGGGACATACTGTAAGAATCACATTAGGGGCAGACATATCCTTGATTTGAAATGCTGTTATTTATGTTGTTGCATGTCCCATATAGCCTTTTCACAAACCAATTGGTGCAAAAAAGCACCAAAAATGTGACCCGCTCTATCGAAATCAGTCTGAAGTCGCAACGGCTCATTTCAAAATAAACGTGGATTTGCGTAAAAAAATAGTTTTTTCGGGGTTCGGGTGTTTTGTTTGATTTTAAATAAACAAAGTCTTGGCTTTCAGAATATGAAACTTTTATTTCCAAAATCACACGATAAATACATGTTTGAAGCTTGTAAAGGGACGAAGACAGGCACCTCTCCCTCGCCACTCTGCTGTTCCGCAGCGCAGCCCCCCTCCCTCCGGCTGAAATTATGAATGTAAGCGTATAGTAGCTACACGGCAGGGTCCGTTACAGTTTGTTTTCATCTGATTCAATTAAACAAAGTCTTGCCTTTCATAATATTTAACTTGTTTTGGCAAATTCAAATGATAAATACAACTTTGAAGCTTGTGACGGCATAATTACAAACGGAGAACGGAGGAGCGTCCACACTACAGCTTCAAAAAAAGCTTGGAGCTGGGCGTGTCTAAAGCTTGGGGATTTTATTCAAGCAACGCGACCAACAACCAATCACATGAATCTCCTGCCCCCGACATACAAAGCAATAGCAATGTTAAAACGAAGTAAACTGGATATAAAATCCCCAAACAGGCGAAAACCTACCAGTTTCACCCACTGACTCTGCCACCTCCCTCCATGCCTGGTTCCTCCGGTTTGTATCCCGGTAAATAGTTCTGGTCGGAAAGAACCGGGTGATTTGCTACCGTAATTTCTCGTTTGGAATATGAGGAAATGAACTGCGGTCTGGCTCTCCCAGCTTGCACGCGGTTTGATTGGCTAGCGCTTGTACTGGCGGGAATTGCAAAAACGGGATTTGATTGGCTGACGCCAGCTTCGAGCAAGCATCGACGCCGATAGATGCTTGCAACGCCTTGCCATGCTACCCACAATGCAGTTCGGCGAAGTTTGAAAATATCCTACGTCACCCCATTCAAATGAATGGGCGAAGCGTTGAAAGCATTTTTTGACGCCTGTAGTGTAGACGGGCCGTGACGCCGGAGACGGACCGCTATTCTACCCACAATTCAGTTCGGCGAAAAAGCGAGGCAACGTGACGTCACTCCATTCAAAGTGAATGGGCAGATTGAAGCTGTCGACAGTGTGGACGGGCCCTAACCTAACGTCACAGCAGGCACAACAACAGCCGGTGTTTCTCGTGAGGGTTTTCACGAAAAAACTACACACTAACGCAAAATTACACAAACACACGTATACACACACAATGGCGAGCTTCCCCCAGACCAGTAATCCAAACCAAAATATGTTTCCTCCGTATTATTTTGATCATTTGCTAATAATCAATCGGATCGATGGATTCCAGAGAAGAGGAAACTTTGAAGGCCTTTTTCTCAAAATAATGACTCGGTGACAGTCATTATATAATGTAATATATTTAGCTTAATATTTGGAGTACAACAACATTCCTGATATCATTAGAAAGCTAGGAATCTCCTCTTTCCAACAGTGTACTGTTCGGGTCAATGCGACTGATTTCGATGGAGCAGGTCACAAATGCACTTAAAGTTCCTTAGCCGTTAAAAGCATTTAGTGAAGCATACAAAATGTCAGCCATCTCACAACAACATGTTTAAAAGGCCTGGACATAACACTGATTTGACATCAAAAAGAAAAGTGAATATCTTTGATCATACAATGTACATGTCCCTTACTGTCTAGTCTTCTGGCGTGCAAATAAAACCCTGAAAATACAAATACACTTCTCAATCAAGCTAACATGCAGCTACTCACTGACCTAAATATGTCGGATAAATATTCTTTAAAATGAGCCTATTTCCATACACCGCTTGTCTTTAATGCAAGCTCATAATTTCTTCTTCAGCTACAACATTTAATCCCAGTTTTTCTTATTCCTCCACAGTGACATGTCCGCCCTGGATGAGTCCAGCGCTGTTCACAACAACCAACTGGCCTTCAGCATTTTGGAGAAGGAGCTGGGCATCCCTCCTGTCATGGCTGCCAGCGACTTGGCCAACAGTGGTCAGATAGACAAGTTGTCCATGGTCCTCTATCTCACCCAGGTCCAAAAGGCCTTCACTGTGCCTGCAAAAGGTAAACATCTGACTACTTATCATTTGCAAGGGTAACACAAATATCGAAGCATGATTTTAAAAGCCAAAAAAAAAAACACTTTACAATTTCCTACAGTTCATATTTTCATTATTTATGTAATTTTTAATGCTGTTTACAATCTGAAATATATCTGAAGACAATGATTGATGACAGCAGCTTCATCTTACGTCACTCTGTTGCTTAGACACTGCATTAGCATCACCCTAAAAGGGTCAGGAGCCTTCCCACTGAAACGTGTCTGGTGTGATTAAATGGCTGCTGTCTCTTTAAGAGCCTGTTACCCAGAATTCATTCGGCTTAAGTGGCTAGTGCTGAGCTCAGAGCAGAGCCAGCCTCTACTGGTTGTGCTGCTCTCCTGCATAAACCAGCAGAGCAGCAGAAAGAGCAAACAGTCAGTCACTGTGTGGCTTATGGGACGAGGAGCTCCTGAAGGGGATCTACTGTTCCTGCGCCCGAGCAGGATATTATCCCGGATATTTGTAGCAGAGGTATTTTCACAGTCTTTGCATGTGGAGTTTGTGCAGCAATAAATGACAGAGCCCCGCGTTTGTAGGCTCTGAAGTGGGTGTGATAGATGCTCGCCGTGTGTGATGCTCGCCGTGTGTGTGTGTGTGTGTGTGTGTGTGTGTGTGTGTGTGTGTGTGTGTGTGTGTGTGTGTGTGTGTGTGTTGTGTGTGTGTGTGTGTGTGTGTGTGTGTGTGTGTGTGTGTGTGTGTGTGTGTGTGTGTGTGTGTGTGTGTGTGTGTGTGTGTGTGTGTGTGTGTGTGTGTGTGTGTGTGTGTGTGTGTGTGTGTGTGTGTGTGTGTGTGTGTGATGCTCGCCGTGTGTGTGATATTCTGCTGCGCTGCACGGGATCCACCGACTGAGGTGCAGTCAGGAGGGAGCTGTTATTCTCCCGTAACCTCAGCTGAATGATGAAAGCATGGGAGTGGTAGTAGTGAGAGCAGCAGCTGAAGAGTTTTTTATGCGGATTGACAAGTTAAATGCATCTGCTGTGGCGCTACAGAGAATACAAGTAAGAGGATGTTTCCAGCACAGTATTACAGATAAAAGGACGTAAATTGTAGATTACAAAAAGGTAGAATTAGGATATTTCAAGCTGTGCAAGTAGGCCACATCAGGTGTCTTCAACCTAGTGGGATAACCTGCATTTCTTGTGTGTCTCAATAAAATGTTTCTCTCTTTTCATTTTGTGTTGTGCTACAGACCCTGCAGCCTTCCCCTCGCCGGCCAAGCCTCTGAGTCTCTCCACGACACAGTCCGCTGTCTTCTTCCTGAACAAGCTGAAGCACAACTCTCTGCAAAGACGCAAGGTACGCCCACTGTGACTGTCACTGTTTACACAGCACCGAGAAATGTTTGATAAAGATATTTTCAAACAGACTGGTGTGCTTGGCTGGAGTTCACGTCTGGGCCTCCTGCCTGTGCTGTCTGTGACTCACATCTGTTATTTCAGGGCAACATTATTAGATGTTTTCCAAGAGACGTGGGTTATTTTTTTAATCATTATAATGGTGTGAATGTTCTCCACATAATCACGTCATGTGATGTTAATATTTCTTCTTTTCTCTGCAGGAAAAGCTGGCATCTTTGAAGAAAGAAAGAGAGACCACAATGGAAGAGGAGGACAGTGTGAGTTGTGATTGAAGCTTTTTGTAATAATCCTTCTTACTTTTTTTGGGGCAATTGACTGAATTGATCTGCCCTTTTCCCCCCAGATGGTGGTGCTGCCGGTGTCCCCTGAGCGCAGTCCTTCACCTATCCCTACTCTTGAGCCTGGGCCTAATGCTTGTGTGTCGTTGACAAACAGTGATGAGTGTTACTTCTGTGGACAGAGGGTCTACGTGCTGGAGAGGGTCAGCGCTGAGGGAAAGTTCTTCCATCGAAGCTGCTTCACCTGCCATCGCTGCAGCATCACACTCAGACTGGGAGGATACACCTTTGATCAGACTACAGGTGAGCACTTAAAGAGGACATATTGTGCTCATCTTCAGGTTCATATCAGTATTTAGTGTCTCTACTGTGATATGTCTCCATGCTTTAATGTTCAAAAAGCTCTTTATTGTTCTCATACTGCCTGTGCTGCAGCACCTCTTTTCACCCTCTGTCTGAAACCAGAGCCCAGTCTGCTCTGATTGATTAGCTGGTCGGCTTTGTTGTGGTTGGTCAACCGCTTAGGCTAAGGGGCGGGACATCTCTATCACGTACAATGTGTTGGAGAGCTGGTCAATAGAAGCTCGAGTGTTACATAGTGATGTCATTATGATATGTAAGTAAACAAAGGAGTCCAATGGAGGCATTACAGGCAGGGGGGGGTGGGAGAGAAACTTCCTCTGGAGGGAACTTTGGGATTGTAGCCTTTGCAGATCATTTAAATGCAGAAAACCCTGTATAACACACGACTACAGTACAGGGAAGGGAAACCCCCAAAGAGCAGAAAAGGGCCCCTTTAATGTCCTCTTTTGTCAGAATTATAAAAGGAATATTGTCATGTGTGTACAGTTATAATGCAACACCAACAACTATTAATATATTGTTGGTATCTCTTCAAGTTTCTGTCCATGTATGTTGCAATATTTAGACTTTTCGTCACAGTTACAGTATATGGCTTTTGTATTTCTGGTTTCACGGGTCCACACACCATTTTGGAGTTTGTTTCTTCATGGTTGAATGCAACTATTGTTGGATAAAAGCGTCAGTTAAATGTAACGGTTTCAACAGCTATTGCTCCACTTGTATCATGTGTGTTCTCAACAATAAGTAAAGCACTGCCTTTTTATTCATTCATTATTGTAATTAATAATTTGCACTAAGACCATTTTTAAAGTGGCTCCATTTAGACTAAAAGGACATTAATCATTTATCAAAACAGCAGGCGCCTTTTTCTTCCCCTTCTTTGACACGTCAACATTCAGTTGTGTCTGACCTTTCAACCCCTTCATTGTTTCTGTCTGATGTCCCCTCAGGGAGGTTTTACTGTGAGCTGCACTCTGAAGAACTGGAGCTGCAAAACGGGGCAGAAACATCTTGTAAGGTGGGTCACTGAGCAGAGCAGATGTTCAAACTCATGCTACACCATTTCCTTTTGCATGATAAACCATCCGTCTGGTCCGATGTGTTCAGCCTGCAGCGCTCGATCGCTCGCAGCACAAATAATGCAAATGTTAGTTTACCTGATTCGTACTTTCCACACATGTTTTGCGTAGTTGTGGAAATGCCGCTTCATCCCATGATGCTCAGAGGTTTGTTGAAGAGATTGATGTCAGTTTTCTAGGATTTCAAAATAATGATGTTGACTAGTTATGAAACAGAAGGTGAACATGTTTCCTTATTAAATACAAACGGAAATATGGAGGTAATTTCGTCATTCACTAAGAAAGTAACGCTAGTAAAATGTATTGCTTAAAGAGAGTAATTGTTCAAGTCATATAATGAAAAATATATGAATGTATACTTAAGATACTTTTGAACCTAATATACTTTTTTTAATGAAATTGAAGTGGACCATTACATTTTGATACGGTTGTGAAATTCAAATTAAACATATTTTATCAATATTTACATCAATATATTTTTTAAATGTGTTTTATATTTTAATGTAAATTCTGATATGCTAATTCCTGTCTTTATTATGCACCTGTTTCTATTCTATCTATCTCTAGACATCTGTACGGAGCCCTGGAGGGTTCATAGAGAGAAAAATAAATAAAACGTGGCCACGTTTTACTTTCTCGTGCGCACGCTTTAGTAACTCGTGCGCACGAGTTACTAAAGCGTGCGCACGAGTTACTAAAGCGTGCGCACGAGTTAATAAAGCGTGCGCACGAGTTAATAAAGCGTGGCCTCGTTTTGTGTGCGTGTGCTGTTCGTGGTAATTTGAAAACAAATGCCGGTGGTGTCGGATACACACGAACGCGCACACAGAGCGGAGCTGAGCACACACACACACACACACACACACACACACACACACACACACACACACATGCGCCCCGGTGACAGGACATCTCCTTCATAAAGCGAGGGGGAATACTCTGGTAGTTCGATGTGTGTGTAGGTGTGTGTGGTTGAATGTAGCAGCCTCGATCTCTATTGAGCTGTTCTAATGAAGGGAAACGCAGTGAAGTAAACAGTAAAAGGCACAGCTCTTTGCAGCTGGTGCTGCTCTTCTCAGATTCTGCTGAGTTACACGTTACTGCCTCCAGTGCCCTGTACGACGAAGCCAGTTCAACAGACCCTGGACCTGGATATGTTCGATTTACCCGGCTTAACTGACCCTAACAAATGCGATGGAGACAAACATGGAGACGCGTGCTGACAGCGCAGCGTCATACTTCATGAACGAATAGTGTAAATAGCAAATCCTGCTTCGTAGTGTACTACGAAGCAGGATTAGCTATTTACACTATTTGCCACTGGTGCCGCAGAGATTTCATAAAGTGAAGGAGGTTTTCCTTCTATAAAACAGCTGTGGGCAGCAGATACTGTGAGTCACGGACAGGAATCCCTCAATTTAAATAAAACGAGGCCACCTTTAGTAACTCGTGCGCACGCTTTACTCGTGCACGAGAAAGTAAAACGTGGCCACGTTTTATTTATTTTTCTCTCCAGGGCTCCGTACATATTTTATTTTATTTCTGAAAGCCGTGTTTTATATACAGTAAATATGAGCACAGATGGGATGTGCCTTTTTTTTGGATGTTGTTGGAACTTTTCAATAGTTTAAAAAAAAGAAATTCTCTGCACTTTTTCAACAACGCCGTAAAACGATGGCGGTGACAGGAAGCTGCATTTGCTCACACGTGCAGAACAAATCGGGTTTCCGGTACAGAGACGGTGTCAAAGCATAGTTTGTGTTCAAAAGCAGGAATGTGTGCCTTTTTTTAAATGTCGTTTTTTTCCATTTCTGTATTCAGGATAGTGAAAGGAATCACAAAACAACCAATGAAGACAACAGGCTCTCCAGTGATGATTATACGCCCTCTCCATCAGATGAGGAGTACGAGCACACTCTGGACTGTGGTCCTTCTCCTCACTCAACAACTCCCACTGAGCCTCCATCTATAACAGAGGCGGCAGCAGCAGCAGCTCCCACTGAGGAGGAGACGGTGCCACATCCCGTCCCTAAGCCTCGCAAATCCCAGCTCCCACCCAGCCCTCAGCCCTCTCCTCCCGTAGCGAAACCTCGCTCCGTCCACATCTTCAACCCCTCGACTCCAGAAAGACAATCGTCTCCGACTCCTACAGAAGAGATCTCAAAGGACGCGCCAGACTCTCGCCCGAAGCAACGAAAGCTTAAGATCAGCGATGAGGAGAAAAGCCAGCTGGTGAACCTCCAGAGCCTCAGCGTGGACTCGGACTCAGAGACCCCCGGTGGATCTTCATCCTGCTCCTCGTCCTCGGCTACAGCAGGAGGAACGAGCCCTCCCAAACCAGAGGACGGGCAGGAAGAGGAGGGCTACTGGAGCGGGAACCCCGCCAGTCACATGCGAGAGAAGAGGCACCGCCGCTGCTTCAGGAGGAAAGAGATGCCGGGCGGACAGGCGAGGGTCCGGTCCAAGTTCTCCCCGTGGAACCTGTCGTCCCCGAGGATCAGCAGAGACCCCCGGCTCAGCGTCCTCGTCAATCATCCGGGGAGAGTCGGTGAGTGGAGTTGTTGTGGATCCGATGTAACACTCGCAACATTAAAGAATAAGACAAAGAGGAATCAATAAAACGCAGACACAGTGAAGTTAAATATGATATTGCTGCACAGCACTATGAGACGCATTACCTTGCAGCCAAGCAGTCAATAGTGTAATGCCCGATAGACCAAGATAATCTTCCAGTTTATATACACTTCAAACGGCATATGTAGCGGACACGTCCGCACCTTATACAGTCATATATGTTGCATCCTCTGTCCCCTCAGACATTACATGATCCCAGATTTCATGACCTTATTTAGCAGTTACCTGACATGTATGTATGTATGTATGTATGTATGTATGTATGTATGAAACTGCTGCTGAAGAAATAGGCCAAATGAATAACTCACTAGCACGGTTTAAAACACACGATTATATAAAACAGATTCTACAGACGCTTAGTGGAGGACACAGGAAAACACTTTTGCACTTGTTTCAACATCTTTTCTTGCTTTTCCCACAACAGAAACAACATTCATACACAGCACTAACGAGGGATACGATGACGATGATGACGACGACGACGACGACGATGATATATTAGATCGAGATGATGTCGACTTATTTGAAGAGAAGGTAATGGAGCTGATGTTTGCATTATAAGTGAAAGTGAGAAGCTACAGTTTAATCAGCAGTACATCCTGACACTTTGCCTCTAGTTTCAGACGCTGCCAGCTGACCCTGTTCAGGCCGAGAAGATGGAGTTGATGATGATGAGGACACTTGAGCGGAGAGCAAAGACCAGTGAATTACAGCGATTACGCAAAGCTCAGGTCAGTGGCTCTCAAACCGGAGCAACCCTCTTAGCTAATCAATATTTTATTGGCCAGTGGCTTCTCCATGTTTACTCAATAAGCAGTGACCGTAGTATTGGTAAAATAAATGAATGTACCATTTTCAGGTTCTTACGGTCATTAAAAACCTGGAAAAGTCATGGAAATTCAAAATGCAAATTCCAGATCCTGGAAAAGTCATGTAACTAAAGTTGCATCAAATATAATTTATATTTTAGCTAATCGCCGAAATAGTAATACTATATATTATATACTAATAAATACTGTATCGTGTAGTAATGAAACGTAAAATGGCATTTAACTGACGAGGTATTTTGCTGGTGAGAGATTTGAGTTGCTTTAGCGTGTAGAAGCTAGTAAGCCTACTATTGGATTTGTTTTAGATAGGCACAGCATGTTTCATATGCAGACCTTATTTTCCTGTTCCATGTTAAAATAAACCATTTTCAGTGGTACCGCTGAGAAAGAGTAATGTTTTTGGTCATGGAAAATTAGGTAAAGGTCATGGAGAAGTCATTGAAAATCATTGGTGAAAAAGTGTATGAACCCTGCATTTTAAAGCTCCTGTGTCCACATGAGCAGGCAATATTTATTGTGTGTTAAGTGTTAAACCCTAATATTTAAATCCTGTTTGTTTATTTGGCGGCACCAGTTTTGACTCTTAATACAGCAGGCCTTGTGGGCTTTTAACACTTCTTGAGCAGTGAGAAATGCAACAGAAGGGCACTATTCATTTCTTAAGCCACCATGGTCTGATACAATCCTGCACAAAGTTGGTTACTTTGCAGCTGCAACATTTTGAACAACGTGATGAATGCATGTCTTGTGGCTTCTTCACTATAGAAGTTGCACATTGTGACCAGTTCAACATTTTTAATGTGAAGCAACGGCAGTGGAAAATGTTTGATTTGCATTCGAAGTAACTTACAGGGTTCTTACGGTCATTAAAAACCTGGAAAAGTCATGGAAATTCAAAATGCTAATTCCAGGCCCTGGAAAAGTTATGGAAAACAATATTTTTCCCAAAGTTTTGGAAAAGTCATGGGAATTTAACTAAAGTTGCATCAAATATAATTTATATTTTATCCAATCACCGAAATAGTAATTTCATAATGTATCGTATTGTAATGAAAACGTAAAATGGCATTTAACGGACGAGGTGTTTTGCTGGTGAGAGATTTGAGTTGCTTTAGTCTGTAGAAGCTAGTAAGCCTATTGGATTTGTTTTAGATAGGCACAACATGTTTCATATGCAGACCTTATTTTCCTGTTCCATGTTAAAATAAACCATTTTCAGTGGTACCGCTGAGAAAGAGTAATGTTTTTGGTCATGGAAGATTAGGTAAAGGTCCTGGAGAAGTCATTGAAAATCATTGGTGAAAAAGTGTATGATCCCCGAACTTAGAAGTAAAGCTTGATACAACTGTGGGAACATGAAACCCTGAGTCTGAGATCAACAAGATAAAAGCTGAAAACATGCATTGTTTCCTGAGAATGACTTAAAATGAAAACTAATGGATAGATATATAATGATGTAATGAAAATATATTTACAGTCTTTTTCAGAAATAAATGCTGAGTCGTGATTTAATTAAAAAAAGCTGTGAGAATGTTGCATAATGTACAACCTAGAGAACAAACTATGTATTGAGTCAAGGCTGTTAAAATGTAAAGATTTAATAGAATTATAGACGGCTTTAGTTGTGCATAAAGCAAAAAACAGAATACTGCCAGAAAATATACAAAACAAATGTGTTTGTTTGTTAAGGATGAGCAACATGGGAAGAAATTACATTTTAAGCATCAGTTTGCACGCACGGCTTTCAAAGCAGATGTGTGTCTCTTGGCGCAAAGAAGTGGAATTCTTTGCCGAATGATTTAAAGCGCTGTAAGAACATTTTAATGTTTAAGAAAGCGTAATTTGACAGTATGAAGTTGACTGTTGATTGTGTTCTGGTTTTATATTTCAGTATTGGTAACTGAAAGAATATTGCTTTCATTTGACTTTTTGATGGTTATTTCATTTTCTTTTTGTAAGAAGGGGCAGGTAAAATAAGATGTTCTTCTTCCTGCTCCTTTCCACCATGCGTTTCCGCCAGGGGGGCGTCTTGCCGTCATTTGACGCCCTTATTCAGCTCGGGTCGCCCTGAACTCGAGCCGAGGGCGTCCAAAAATATTAATAATTCGAGAGAAGATCGAGTTTTTATCGCTTGAAATAACAAAAAGGAAAAAGGACATCCCGCTGTTGGAGGGGCAAAGCAGTCTGGTGGGATTCCTTTCGGAGTATTGAAGATCGTTTCCCCGACATCGGCGGTGCCTGCTACAGGACAACACGGAACGTGCGCGAAACTGAGGCTCCGTGGTAACTGTGGTAACATGAAGAGCCGTTTGGGAGCCGAGTCAAATGATCCGACTCACTAACGTAAAGAGATAGTATCTATAAGGGACGGCTCAATTCAAAATCCCGCCCCCCCCCACCCCGCGCTCTCGGGGTGGACGCCCTCTCAGCCCTGGTCTGGCGGAAACACTGATGCGCTATAAAAAACAGTATAAGTGTACTTGTTTTGTAAAGTGTACATGTTTTGTTTGTCTAACTGGTGTGTGTTTGTGGTCTCCAGTCCATCCAGAGGAGACTGGAGGAGATCGAGGTGACCTTCAAGGAGTTGGAGGATAAAGGTGTCGTTCTGGAGCAAACTCTGCGCCGAGAGGCTGGTGAGACCCTAACAGCAGGCCCCTTGTTTGGGGATTTCAAAGAAATTAATCTTACTTCTTTACGTAGAAGAACTTTTGACATTGATTTGATTTAAAAACAGTTAATGCTGGAAATGGATTCTGAGATTTGTATTTTGTGGTGAAATGTAAACTGTTCTGGTAAAAGACTGTGAAAAATACAAAAAAGAGCTACTGTTTATTTTAAGCATTAAATGAAACTAGAGAGTCTGCACATGGTAAGTATACTTAGTTAAACCATAAACCAGGTGCTTCCATAAGACCGAATATATTGGTCTCTTGAATGACCGAACTTAAACATTGAATACATGTATGTATTGATGTGATTAAATCATAGTCAGCTGAATTCACATGAAACAACTTCCAGACACAGAGGGTGTTTCTCAATGTCGAGGACGCTTCCTTGGTAGGACACGTCTTCCGAGTCACTTGCTTCAGAGGCGAGGCAAGAATCCTTCCTAGCCTCGGAAAACAAAGAATGGTGGAACAGGCAGACAGGTGTGCGTCATATGCGAGGCCCCGCCTTAAATGGAGCGCGTTTTCCGCCAAAGATTTGGAAATTGGTCCGTGCGCAAAGCATTGTGGGGATTTTAAGACCGCGGAGTCTACACATGTGCAGCCTCGAAATTTCTCGCAACGAAGGACACCAGGCTCGGTAGAATTCCAAGCATCCTGGACATTGGAACAGTCCTTCGACGGGACTCGATGACGTAGCATCCTTGAAATAGTGGCTCTGGAGCATCCTTCCTTGACATTGAGAAACACCCAGAGAGATTCACTTTAGCCTGAGGCTCCATGTTTTTCTTTAGACGATTACATGGACGTTGTGTCGCATGCAGTACAACTCTACATCCAGAATCTCCTTAAAAACCCGTCTCTCTTTATTTCCACAAACAGAATGAACACATAGATAACTAAACGCTGTGTTTTTCACCTCCAGGCAGCAACGGCTCTCCTGACATGATCGAGCATTGGATCCAACTCGTCCACGAGAAGAACTCGTTGGTGACTGAAGAGTCTGACCTCATGGTGGCGTGAGTGTTCAGCTCCTTAATTAAAAACACTGGCGGGTACATGGGCTGCTCTTTGTTGCACAGTAAAGGCCTGTTGCTGGGATACCACAGCTATGGTTTTTTTATTATCTTGGTTTGTCCATACATGTACTTTGCTCGAAATACAACGTTTATTTTTTTGGAGAAATGGTATAAGTGAAACAAAACAAAGAAAAATGCCTTATCGGTACCTTGAATCCGAAAGCAGGATTTTATTTTTACGTGAATGAAAGGGAAAAGAAACATATAGCCTACTACATCAATTAATAACAAAAATAACTATTACTTTGAAAATATATATATATACATAAGGGCGATTCTAATAAAAGTGAAAACACAACACATCACAGCTTTTTTGCAAAGTGACACAGTAGCCACACATGAAAACACTACGGTAAATTGAAAACCGATCATAAACATGGACTAGTTACAGTTTGTTCTCACCTCTGTAGCGACCAATCTGCATACCAGTCAGTCTCTATTTGTAAAACTGGCCTCATGTGGGCGACCTGCAGCCAGCAGGACGCCCACATGACTCAGCCAATGTTTGTTTTCCTCTCAGGTCCCGGCAGCTGGAGCTGGAGGACAAGCAGAGCACGTTGGAGCTGGAGCTCAGGAAGTACATGGAGATGAATGGTGGGTATTTTGGGGTGAAAACATAAGCACATTTGTTGCAGAAGCTTCTTGAAAAGGCCTATTGATTTCGAAGAGAAGGGAGCAAGCCAACTTGGAAACAAGCAGCAGTTGTGTTTTTAGCCAAGGCTGATAATCATGGCATGTTTCTCCTCTAATGAGAACATCAGTGCTTTGGCAATGTGGCTGTTAACCCAATCAGGGCTTTCTGTAATTATATTAGATTAGATTAGAATCTTTAATGACCACACAGTCAGGCTGGTGGAATTCGTGCAGAGTATTACAGCATAATCAAGTGAATCGGCCCAAATGTAGGACGATATTTGTTTACAGAAATGATATCAGAAAACATAGGGTTTGGTTTGTATTGGAGGACAAGACATAATGTATTCCTAACTGCTAATATTCCTTTTGATGCCAGAGAGGACCCGATAAACAACAGATCTACTGAGAGTGTTGCATTATGGGTTGTTTGTAGCCTTCCAGTTGCTTGGCTAGCAAGTTTATAGTGTGTCTGAGTTAGTCCTTCGTCAACACTGTCTCTAAAATAATACAGACGTGGCCCTTAGCACATTGAAAACATTGTTAGTCATAGTATTTTGTTTTTCTGACTAAACTGGCTGTAAAGATTTCCCAACTAAAGCTGATGCAGTCTTAGTTAGTGACATCAAGGGAGTAAAACCCAGTTTTCTGGTTTGAGGACACTAGTAACCTTTTTTTGTGAGCATAAGCAAGGACTTTTGGTCAAATAAAACACACCTTACCTTCTCCAAATTAGATCTCAGGATGACATTTAGAAGTTATTCTGATTCTTTTTCATTTAAACTTGCATGGACTGATTTGTAGCCACTTACAGTAGGGCAGCAGGAACAACTGTTAAACACTGACATGTCATTGTTTAAGTTGATATACATATTAGCAAACGCCTGTTTATTCACACATCTAGCAGACACATAAACATTGTCATTCATTTTGTAGTCGTGTTTTTGTCTATGTATGTAATATACGTCCAATATTCACTTTTGCTTAGTTCTCTTTTTGGTATCTACAAACTTTGGAGATAAATATCTGTCTCTAAAGCTGCTCAATGCAACTCAATGATAAACAGCTACTCAATATGTCTGCTTCCCGTTTGGTGCGTAATGTAGGTGGATACAGTGCACAGTGACATTTGAAAGCTTGTTCACAGAAAACAGCTGCTGCGACATAAAACGACGCAGTGAGAGCAGTGAGAGCTAGATAAAACAGTTCTAGATGTAAAAAAATAATATAAATCACATTATTTTTCAAGAGTCCACGCGCAGGGAAATACATATTTTGGACTCTTTGGAAGATGGGTTCATTTTGATGCACTGAGCGGATGTTATTCAGGTAAAATCCTGATTACCTTAAACTTAGCCTTTAAACTCCGGCTTTTCTTATTTACCTGAGTTCACACACACAACCTGCAGGAACACAAAGAGCAGACAGTTAATATTTGACTTGTGAGACGGATGAATATCTTCTTTATATAGCGTTTAACCGGTGCTGCAGCTTCTCATGCATTCACCTCTCTGTCCTCAGTGGCGAACCGTCAGGGCCTTCAAGGTATTCAGAGAATACCCTGGAACACTCAGATAAAACAAACAAAAATCGATTTAATTATATAAATAAAAGTATGTAAAATGAATAAATGAGAATCGTATCTCTGTTGTTGATCTGTAATATCACAGTGTTACGTTGATTTGTTTGTCCTTCTCGGACCATGCTCTACGCATTTCAGTGGGTTTGTGTTAGAAAAGAAAGCAACCAATCAGATCTTGTTCTGGGTCTCTGGGTAGAATATCCTTCAACAAGGTATTCTACATCCTTGATAGAATGCCCTGGCCGTTGCACTGAATGAGAGCGTTTGGACTGACAGTTTGATCAACCAATCATATATTGATTTGTAGCCAATGGGCGTATTCTAGAAGGCCCGCTAGTTAACTGGCTCGAGACAGAGGACCAATGCGACGAAGCAATTCATGCCGTTTTATTGTGTTTAAAGTTGAAATGGCAAGTGCAACAGGTGAAGATGATGTTGCGGAATTGTTGTGAGTACCCTTTTCAAGACGACAATTCAGCGAAAAGACGGACATTATAACGGCGGGGCGGGGGGGTTGTGTCTACAGAAGGTCCAGTTGTGATAGACACGGTTCGCCATTGGCTCCTCCACATGAATAAGGCTGGTTTAAGGAGAGATCTGTTGCAACATGAAGTAGTTTAGACAAATACAAAACAACATAGATGTTGATGGATGCTGAAAAAATAAGGATTATGTTTGCATCCGGTCTGCTAAAGAAGTAGCTGAAACTCACAAAAAAGTGTTAAATCTCTGTAGCTTCATCACTACAAACACAATTTGTTCACATTGTCATTGATACATTATTTAATCTGTAGACAAGACGCCCGAGCAGCAGTCGGAGGAGGAGCGGGTCCTCCAACAGATGCTGGATGTGGTGGACATGAGGGACTCGCTGGTGTCCTTCCTGGAGGAGAAGAGGCTGACGGAGATCGGAGAGGAGCAGGAGGCCTTCTCCATCATGGAGGCCAAACGCCACTCCAAGGCAGGAGCTCAGGTCTACTGGGCGTAAGGCAAACTCGGCATGAACCTCTTTGTGCCCTGCAGTAGATGACCTCACATCTACTGTATGTGCTGCTTCGTGACTTTTCAAAGCCAAAGATGATTGTTGCGGTGGCAAGTGGCGCCTCTTTGTACGACTAGGATGAAAAAGGTGAGGCTTATGGGGCAGAGGAGTGAAGGGCAAAGCGGCCCCTAGAGGGAGACATACGCCTGGGGATCTGAGGCTCTGAGATGACGCATCACACCTCTGTGGCTCAGCCCTACCTGATGTGTTAGTGGGGTCACAGCAGCAGCAGAAAAAGAAAATGGACCGCTCATCTTCTGCTGCATCCATCACACAGAAAGTGATCCAAACAGAACCTGGGATCAGTTTGGTGTTGGTGCCAGAAACATGTGGAAAGCCAGGACTAAGCAGCATCACAAAACCACATTGGGGATCCAGGTAATGGAGCCTTAGATAAAGACCTTTAACAAAAGCACAGGATGGATGGAGTTTTTAAAAATACTTTGATGAATAAGTGCTACTGTTCACAATGACATCATCTACGTTTAACTGTTTGTATACTGAATAAATTATATATGAAGATGGAGACAAAAAAAAGAGCTAGTTTAAAATATTAGAAGTAATAAATTCATGATTTCATTTTATCATCCAGAGTTTTGTTGCCACTACCTGCTGTTCAACATGTCCTTTTCCCGATTGCACGTTGGATTTTAATCTCAGGGGTCGACGCTTCAGTCCTCTTGGGTCAGAGTTTGGTTTTCACCGGCGGCTGCTCTCAAACTGGTGGTTTATTATACAAACATGGGGGGTTTTAAGGCGAATGAGAAACAGACTGAACAGCTGCTTCATGTATTTATAAACGCTATACCTTTTATCATTTTGTAGGTGTTTCTATTCACGTGCTGGCAGAATAGCTGAGATCCAGACAAAGGCTGTTTTGTTGTTTGTGAAAAGAGCCGTATACGTTCATCGTTCTGCCGCCACCTGGACGGCCCTTCACATTATATCAAATAAAGATCATGCACTTTGATGTTTCATGTTTTTGATAATGATTGTGATGCTCGTCCAGTCCTCTTGGGGTGTTCGTTTGTTACTGGACAAATTGGCCTTTTTTATATATCTGCAGCACCGTACTGTGGTTATATATAGTTTAAATGCTCGTGCTATTCTACCTGCTAACCTCCAGGGTGCACACTTGTCCCTCTCCATCAGTAATGCCCAACCTTTTCCCTTTTACTGGACGCCTTTTTATTTTGTTGTTTATTTAAAAAGTTGCATGTACAAACAAATATCTATTGCAATGACATTAAAGGTGGGGTAGGTAAGTTTCAGAAACCGGCTCGAGATACAAGTTTTGTTATATTCCATGGAATGCTCTTAACATCCCGATAGCAATGAATATCTTAAGTGCTTTGACAAAAAATCCATAAAAAAATTTCTTCTGTGGAAGCCGTAATACTGTAAAAAGCACGACCAATCCATTTAGCCGGGCCGGCTAAACGGATTGGATTGCCGCCCTGTCTGTCAGCCTTCCATCTCGTGCACGCACAAATGTATCTCGTGCCCTCATTGGGCGTGCCGTCATTGGGCGTGCATTGCACGTTCATGTGTGTTGGAGGAGGTGCTCTGTAAGGAAGTCTGAAGGAAGGGGCGGATTCTTTTCGGCTGTGTACTTTCAAATTTTAGTGCACTCGAGCCGGTTTCTGAAACTTACCTATCCCACCTTTAAATACAAATATATATAAATTAGTAAATACAACATACGGCCAGGGGCGGATCTACGGGGGGGGCAAGGGGGCAGCTGCCCCCCCCCACTGTAGTCCTTGCCCCCCCCAGCTGCCCCCCTAACTTTTGTTTCCCTAAAACTGTACTAAAACAAACCTACACTATTTCCACAAGCTTCTCAAGCAACAAAACAAGCATTACATTAGTTAAAAGTGAATCATTTCAAATATAATTTTAGACCCGTTAAAAACGCAGCTACGGCCCTGCATTAAACTGCGGAGCGGCGTTCACACAGACCGCGGCTCACACCGCTGCAGAGAGAGAGGGAGCGAGCTGTCCCAGCACCTATGGGTCAGCTTCCCCTGGGAGCATTTCCCTTTCCACTAGTTTTGTTTTTTACTAAGGACGAGAGCTTGAAACTAAATATTAATAAAACGCTGCCGTTTGAATCGATAGCGTTTAACAGACGGGCGCTGTTTGGGGCGTTACGTTACAAAATACTACGCAAACAGCGTTAGCTGGGAGATCGATCACTTTGCTAAACCACGCGGTAGCCTACTATTAAATCCACGTAAACTACACATCACAGCCATGAGGCCAGATCAATGAAACCAGGATACATCCTTTACTGTAAAAACTGGATCCAAACACAGCTGCCTGTGTGCGCTTGATCAATACTTTCTGATGTTATATGATATGCTACATATTAGCTAGGCTACATGGCCCTAACGCGTAAAGTTATACAAGCATTTGTACCAGTGCTTTTCACAAGTAGACTCTTGCAGGCCAGAGTATAGGAGTGATTCAACAACAACAACACAAAGACATATGAGAAGTGATCAGGACGAACAGAAAGAGGAAAAGAGAGTTCACTGAAGAGACCAGGAGGGTCAGAGCAGGAGGAGGAGATGAAGAGACCAGGAGGGTCAGAGCAGGAGGAAGAGGAGGAGATGAAGAGACCAGGAGGGTCAGAGCAGGAGGAGGAGATGAAGACATTAGTGAAGAAGAAGAAATGTATGTGAGGAATAAAGATGAAGTGTCAGAAAGAGGGCCAGAGGCAGGGATCAGGAGGCAGATGAAACTCCAGCTGGACCACATGGTATGTTCTTATTCTCCTTACATGTTCCATTACAGCAGCACAATCTAGCAGCTCTTAGTATTGACAAATATTGATTGAAATGTGTTGCTGCACAGGTCACCTGTAGCTCTCTGAAGAGATGGGTGATGTCATTTGTGTATTTAATTATAAATTGAAATGTTGAGTTTGTCAATCTTAATCTGAAAATACAAAAACTGAAATATAGGTAAGAGAAGAAACGGACAATTTTGTGATGTAATTCCCTCAATGCAGATCACACATGGACTGATCCATTATTTTAATAGGAGGGTAAATGGTATGGCGTGACGGGGTTGAAACAAACTGAGGGACAATATTGCAATTTCATAGATAATTCAAGTATTTTTTCAGAATTTATTTTTGATCAGTTAAAGTTGACAATCATGTGATTATATTAGCAGCAACATTTTGGGATAATTGGCCATTTTGATTGGTTTGATATTAAATTAATATGTAATAATAAGGGCTGTCAAGTTAACGCGTTAATAACGCGTTAAAAAAAATTAACGCCACTAATTATTTTAACGCGATTAACGCATGTGTATTTTTTGTCCTCGGCCGCCCCGTAGTTTCAGAGCGCATCGAGTTTAAAATACCATCTACAAGCTGATGCTGACAGCCCCGCTCCTGCCGCCCGCTTGTGGCAGACCACACTTCTACGCTCACCGGCAGGCACCGACTGGCTATTGGGAGGACCGGGAGGGTGTGTGTATGTGTGGCCCGAGCGAGCGAGAGAGAGACCTTACGTGCATTGTTGTTGTTGTTAGCATCTGGTGCTAGCTAGCTGCGCTAACGGATATGGAGCTGTTTAAATGAAAACAGAGGAGCGACATTTCGCCACAACTGCGCCGAGCACTTGACTTTATGCAGGAAGCCAGACAGTGGGACATTGTACGAAAAGTCAGCACACTCAGCACGGATAGTGCGCAACATGATTGCAGCGTCCAGGCAGCTCCCGTTCGAGCATTGGCCTATGCCTTGAGTTGCACATAGCGGCAACGATCCATCTCACACACACACACACACACACACACACACACACACACACACACACACACACACACACACACACACACACACACACACACACACCATTTGTATTGTATTATTGTATGAGAGGTTCCAGGTTGAATTGAGGCGAATATTTGTAATGTTCAGAGGTTGTTGTGTTTAATATTCATGAGCATATTTGTCATTGTTCAAATGATAATAAACATTAGCATAAAGCATATTTGTCCACTCATATGTTGATAAGAGTTTTAAGAACTTGAAAAATATTCCTCTAAGGTACATTTAGAACAGATCAAAAATCTGCGATTAATTTGCGATTAATCGCGATTAACTATGGACAATCATGCGATTAATCGCGATTAAATATTTTAATCGACTGACAGCCCTAGTAATAATGCTTAGTGAGGACATGCAAATATGTCTGTCTAATATGAAGAAAACCAATTTTTTTAAAACAAAATATATATTTAATTTTACATTGTAATGCAAAAAAACCTGTTCCATTAATTCATTGCTTTAAAATACATTTTGTAGTTTCCTTTCATTTAAAATGGTTGAGGTAAGCTTGGGGGACTCAAAGGGCACCCGATTGTTTGTCTGAACACCTTGTTTCTCTTGTGCATTAAGAACACTTGTGTTAGGGCATGAATTAACAATAAATAGGTTATATACAGTGTAAAATACCACGTACTGTCCGCCCTCCCATGCCACCCTGGCATGACCTCTTTCCCCCCCTTTGCCCCCCCTTTGCCCCCCCATGTAAACTGTTCTAGAACCGCCACTGCATACGGCTAGGGCTTTTTGTGTACATTGTTATCTTCAATTATGCTAAACAATTGCAATGCATTTTTATTTTTCATTAAGGCCTTTATTGAAGTAAAGAAACTTTTATAAAAAGTACAAAGAATACAAATGTTATTAACTAAACAGTCATCTTGTGTTGTCTAAGGCTTAGTAAATATAACTGTCAGGTAGGTGTAGAGAAGTAGAAAGTACGATTTTTTTTTTTTTTTTTTTTTTCTCTAAATATAGTAAGGCACAAGTATAAAATAGCATTAAAGCGCAATATTTCAATAAAAGTTATTGTATTGAAGTGCAGCGCCTGAGCAAATGCAGTTAGCAACATGCCTCAGTTTACACTGTGACAATATCCAATCAATTCCTAATCTCTGTGGGACCCATATTACTATTATATTCTACTGTAAATATTAAGAAGATATTATGATTTTAGGAAGCCTCTGTGGAGAATGAGCCCTACTTTGTTGTGTTATTAAATGAGGCCTGAAGGTGAATAATTCCAGGAGATGTGTTGTGTGCCGTTATCACACACGGGTCACTAGTTTCATGCTAACATTAATCTCCGGTTATGTCAGCAGTGAACCGCTTCAGAACCAATTCAATCATCTTATGTAACGCTTTATAAACACCTCAAAATAACTCATTTTGTTTAGTGGATTTAAATCCTGATTCATTTTTGCCGAAATGTTTTTTAACAGCGTTAAATATGATGACTTAGGCTAAATGTCTTCTTTCAAATCAAATCAAAGTTTATTTATAAAGCACATTTAAAAGCGATTTTTGGTCGGGCCAAAGTGCTGTACATGTAATAAATACTACAATCACTTAAAAACACATTACTACATTCATAATAAAAGACAATAAATTACAACAGATATATAGAAAACACAGGGAAAAGTCAGGAGTCGTGCTCCGCTCTGACTAAAAGGCCAGGGACAAGAAGTGTGTTTTAAGCATAGATTTAAAAACCCCTAGGGACCGTCTGGTCCGACCTCACATGGAGGGGCAGAGTGTTCCAGAGCCTTCTTTGACTCTTCTTCATGTGAAGGCGCTTCACTTTTACTTAGAAGTCTTTTTCTGTCACTCATCACGTTATACAAGGCATTGAACAATGTCCTAATCCTGTTAATCTAATCTCGTTGACTTTCATTTAGTCGCAATGGATCCTAAGAGCCTGAGGCGCTGTGTTTGTTCTGTTTCTCCTCTGAGAACTATGGGCAGCTTGGTTTAACATCACTTATGTGACATACAAGAAGAAGAAGAAAGGTATTAATCCCTGGGACGGGGCAGTAAGGAGCAGAGGGGACATAAGCACCTAGATCCTTTACTTAAGAGAAGGAGGTGTTCTGCAACTACTCCATTGCAAGTATAGTCTTTAA